GTTGCATTGTAATCTACATTTATTCATGCTTGTGCTAAATATTCACATTTATTGTGCCATCATTAGGATACACTAAGGGAAGAGGGATGCAGAGTGAAACAGTAGTGCAGCATCAGCCCCTAAGTCTGATCAATACCAGATTAACATGATTTATACAGAGTAAAAACAAGCAGTCCTGTGGCACCTTAGAGACTAACAAACACACATATATATTAATAATGAGCTGTGGTTAGGGATCTGTTCCATTTTCAATGCTGGTTTAGATACCATGGCAGATGTTTCTTTGATTATGGGTTGCCCTTGAAAACACTTACCTAAAAGATGCAGAGTGGAACTTTTTTTCCCAGAAAGGAAAATCACAATTGGAGAGATAGAGATACCTACTGTGTATCTTGGCAACCCAGCCTACCTCTGCTTCCATGGCTCATGAAGCCATACATGAGCATTCTGTACCCTAGCAAAGAGGAATTCAATAACAGGCTCAGCAAGTGCAGAATTGTGGTTGAATGTGCATTTGGATGTTTAAAGGGTAGGTTTAGGAATCTCCTGACCAGTATTCCCTCTAAACTGTGGGGCAGCAGAGCTTCAAAGGTGACTGGTTAATCAGCCCCCCTCCCCCCCCCCCCAGTCAGAAGCTCAGGGCTCCCTGCATGCTGCTGCACAGCTTAGCGGAAACACTGCTCCTGACTCCACTGGATCTCAGGGAATGCAACATTTCCTTTGTGGTAGCAGCCTGCTGTGTGCTCCATAATCTATTCAAGAGCAAGGGGAAAACTTATCCGTCAGGGTGGGGGGCTGAGTCAGAGTGCCTAAGCAGAGAATTTGAGGAGCCAGCCACCAGCATGACAAGAGGGGTCAGTCCAGAGGTATCAGCTTGGATTCTGAGTCAAGCACTTCCTTTAAGGATCTTCCTCTGAAGGCTTCACCTACATCAACCATTTTGCTCTATAAAAATAATACATCATTTCAAGGAATCATGGGCACAAGATCATGATTAATTTTGGTATCTTGTCTGCCTTTTCCTAAGCATTTGTCTAACTGTAGGAGATAATTATCCTATCATCAGTCAACTTCACTGATATTTCTTTATCATTACATCTTTATACAATTTAATAACTTAGAACAAAATCACTATATAGTTGATTTTTTCTTAATTTTAACACACTCATAAAATGCACATATTCCCCTAAACCCATATAACTTTTCAGAGCTTTCTTATTCCTATAAGTAAAGATAACAAAAACAAACAAAAAAAACCCCAGAAAATAAGACCCAGATAGATAAATGAAAAACATATAAAATCAGAATATAAATTGTAGAATTAACGTCTCTTAACCAAAATAAGAAATGATAGCCTTTCTTAAATTATAGAATCCTAGAAATGTAGGACTGAATGGATCTCAAGAAGTTACCTAATAGTCTATTCCTCCTGTGCTTATACGGGACCAAATATACCTTCACTGCCCCAACAGGTATTTGTTTAACCTCTTCTTAAACCCTCCAGTGACAGAGATGTCACAATTGCACTGAAGATTGTTACCACTGAAGTCTGTTATTATGTCTCCCCCTAAGATTTCTTTTTCTGAAGACTAAATTTTCCCAGGCTTTTTAACTTTCTCTCAATCCAGAAAACCTAAACCTATTGTCATTTTGTTACTCTCCTCAGGAATTTCTCCTATCTGTCTTCACCCACAGTACCACAGCTGAGGCCTCACCACTGCTGAGCAGAGTGCAATAATTGCCTCCTGTGTCTTACCTACAATGTTCCTGATTATACCCTGGATAACATGGTGAAGAATATGAAGCAGTAGTGGAAAAGACTAATATTTAACTTGTGACTCCTTGTAACCTACAAATCTCTTTCTTCAATACCACTGCTTTGGCAACTTTTTCCCTTTTTTTGTTTGTTTGCACATTTGATTTTTCCTTCCTTTATTCAATTGCATCTCATTGATTTCAGAGAAATTCTACATTTTATCAAGAATTTAGTCCTCTCCTTCAAAGTGTTTGCAACTCCTTATACACTGTCATCCACAACTTTTATAATTGCACCCTGAACACCATTATCCAAGTAATTCATAAAAATATTGACTAGTCTTGGACCCAACGTACATGCTGATAGTCTCTACTAGAAATATCCTTCAAAGTGACAACAAACCATTCATAACTGTTTTGAGTATGTTTTTTCAGCCACTTATGCACTTACCTTATAGCAATTTAATGTTTCTTAGTTTACTTATGCGAATGTCAGGTGGGACTCTGTCAAAAGTCACATATTTCCAACGCATGGAAAATCAACCCTCTTTCAATCCATCCTAGATGCCCTAGGGTAGAATTCTCAAAGTTTATTGCATGCCCAAGAAGTCAAGTAGGTACATAGTCAGGTACATATATGGAATACAGGCATTAACAGAACCCATAGAGAGGTAAGAAGTGCACAGGCAAGCTATGGTACACAGGAAGGTCATGAGTGTGCCAACCATTTGAGCATTTAGTATGCAATTAAGAGTTTAAGCACCCTACAGAGATTTTTAATGTACATAAGGGGGTACAGGACATGATTTAATCATGAATTGCTGACAAAATGCTGAACTACAGTGACTAAAATATCTTAGTCAGCATTCAATCTGCGGATTCAAATTTTCACAATTATGCTTGAATATGATGCAACAGATTAATCAAAGCAAGCCCAAGAATGAAAAATGTATGAAGATGAAAGATAAACATGTATAAAATCAATGTACTAAAGGGAGGAGAAGAAAGTTCAGTATTTTAATTTCAGTATCATAATTTCAAATAAGTGTCTATTCTTGCTTTTACTGTATTGTACTTTGAAGTTATTAAAATGGCATATTTTTCTAGCTCAAAAGTAGCAACTGGGTTTCATAAAAGGACATCTTCCATCCATATCCTTTTCTTGCCCTGATACACCCTGGGCACACCTTTTATGGAAAGAGGTTGAAAGCAGAAGCATAAAGGAATCTTTTTGAAAATATATATGGAAACAGCATGCACATATCAAGGTACTTAATTTCTAAATTAGGTACTTACAAAGGGAACATTTAACCTGCTGATCCTATTATTCACATGCATTCATTTTCATAGATTTTTTTCAAGCCAGAAGGAACCAGTATAATCACCTAGTCTAATCTCCTACCCAGCACACACTATAGATTTTATCCATACATTAGTATTGCTGTGAATATAGTCCATAAATAGTTCACAGAGATTATCAGCTTTTCTCTAAAACTTTTATTTGATATTACTTCTAACCTTATCAACCATTATAACTATGTTGACTAACCATTAGTATATTATAGAACAAAAATTTAATATTGAGCTACAAAAATTCTACAGTGCAGAGGAGAGAATATATAGTTGATTGGGGCTGGGGAGAACTCAAAAGGGCAAGTAGCATATTTTCTCTTTTACTTGTACCCCACAAGGCTCTGAAGGAAGCCTTGCTGCTAGGGACAACCTAGTTCCTTGAGAGACTCATACATACAACAACTTGCCGTAATACATACTGTTTCTCCCTCTCTGGGCAGAAGGGAAATCTTTAGCAGGATTCAGGAAAAAAGCATGGCTGGGGAGCTCTAGGCAGCAAGGCCTCATGGAAGCCAAGTGGCATTGCACCTGTTCATTGATGCTTGCCTCCAGCAGATCACCAGGGATCTTCAAAATAAAAGGATAGTGCCTCCAAAATAAAATAAAAAGGATAGTGCCTTCTTTTGACAAAGGGCCAACCTTGTTCCCTGTCTTCCAACTCCTAACAGAACAATTATCAGGAAAAAGTAAGCAGAAACAGAGTTTCAACTCTCCTGCAGAATGATAGCCTAAATAAATAACACAAATAAAAGGCATAATTTCATCATGGAGACTATTTACCAGTCAAGGATTATTTACCAATCACGGTCTTGATCTTGTAAAAATTTCCTCACAAACTTAACTTCACATATCCCAAGGTACACTGAAGTATATTTAAAGTTAAGTCATTGTTAAGGCTTCATGTTTCAAAACATATACTTTATAAAAATAAATGGGAAACTTTTTTCCACTTCTGCACAACTAAGAACCTGCTACCATACTTTTCAAAATTGGGACAGATCAAGCAATATATATAAATATATCTACTTTAAAGTCCCATACTTATGAGCTTGAAATTAAGCCCATACATAATTCTCTGCAATATTTACATTTAAGTTCCTCTCTAGTCAAAACAAAATAAGCAATCAACAAGAAAGGGAAAATTCAGTCCCAAACATCAGTGTTGTGAATGTGTAAGATGTGTGATTTATAACTGAAACTATTTTGTAACTTAAACTATAGTAATTGCCACATTGGAATTGCTGTGATGAAGTAAAATTAAGGCCAATTTATACTAAAAGCCCTTTTTATTTGTCTCTTTTCAGACGCTGTATTTTTCATTCCTCCTTTTTAAAGAAGTTACTATTAAAACTCTCCATTATCAGCAAGGCTTCTCATTGAATGCCCCTTTACATGTGTTTTATTTCCCTGGATAATTAGATCATATATTAAAAATACTGAGGGGTAGATTGTGGTACTGAAACTATCAAAGGTAAACAGCATGATATAAGAAAAAAAGGATTTCAGTCCACTTTAGCACTGTAGAAAGAAAGCTGACTATAAAGCCAAAGAATAATGGGACTGAACAGCACATGACGTTCTACATCTCCCAGTCAGGTCCAATTCTGAACACTATAGTGCTTGAAAACATGTTGTTTATTCAAAGATTAGCATATTGCCTGAAAGGAATTTGCTTGACTTGTTCTAGTTCCCAGCACAAAACTGTAAACCTCCAAATAGGAACTGAGTACAGTAAAATGAATGAACTATCATTTAGTCACAGAGATGACTTTCTGATTACAAGCTTCAGGGGGTAGCCGAGTTAGTCTGTTACCAAAAAAAAAACCAACAACAACAAATGGTCTGGTAGCACTTTATAGACTAACAAAACATGTAGATGGTATCACGAGTTTTCATGGGCACAGCCCACTTTTTCAGATGTCCGGAGTTTAGATGGTTAGAGTTGGGGCACACTTGCAGAGTCGTGAACAGGCCCATGTTGTATCTGTGCTGGGGATACAAGAAATAAAGAGCTTTAAATCTTCGTATATTTGTATTATCTATTATTATTAATGAGCTGTAAACACAGTTGTAAAACTAGAGACATGGTACTTGAAAATGTCTTGGAAAAAAACAAAAACAAAAAACACATGCCAATACAAGTATTAAAACCACTAGCACTTAAGTACAGATACAAGAGAGGAGAGGGGATAACAGTGCTAGATCAGTTATGTCTTTCCTTTGTTGAGATTATATAAATAGACTTAGTCAAAATTAGAAAATAATTCACAAGTTTCTTTTAAGTTCAGTCATTTCCATTTCACAGGGTATAAATTAAAGTTTGGAAGTGAAAGGGTGTTATTGATATGTTCAAAAAAGACATGTACAATATTTGCAATCATTTAAATTTTAAAAATGTATACAACTGGAAAAGTTAAGAGTTGCAAAAGGAAAATGTAAATGTAATTTTGCCACACTGTAACTTTTCTAAAGTTAGCCTAGAAATATGAACGCTATACTTTAATAGCCCAGAGTCAATCTTATATCCTGACCTGCCTTTCGGGAAAGGGTAATACAGAATTCTTGGATTGTGTACTCAGCAGATCAGTCCACTCACCTGAGGAATCTGAGTCTTCATTTGTGCACTCATTTAAAGATTATTCCAAATTATGCTTAACTTTTCCTCCATTGTCAGAGATCCTCTAAACCCTGAATTTACTTAGTATCAACATGTAACAAGTGAATTATTCTGTGGCACATTTTCATTTAACTTCACAAATGGATTCAACAAATTTAGCAATAGTACATGCTCCCCCCACATATTAATTCCTGATCAGTTATGCCCTGTAAATGATCACATATTCAATGGCAGTTCAGATGCCACAGCCTTTGAATCTTTGATCTCTTTGCTTCATAGAGAACTTAATTATCAGGCATTTTCAATATAGCACCTGCCAATAAATGGGGTTGATACGATATATTGTTCTGAAATACCCCCATTATGTACTCACATTAACAGTATGTCCCAGTTGGTCATAGTTTCTTTTAAAAATTAATATATATGTTAATTTATTTAGTGAAATTAGGGAAACAACTAATACTGAATTATCACTTGAAACTCATCAAGGAGCTCTGTGCATATCGTATCCCTATCAAGGCAAACCCTATTGAAGTAAATTGGCATCTCTCTATGCAGAGTTGTTTATAATCTTGAGGGCTTGAATATTCCATTTCAAATACAATACAAATTTAACAAAGTTTTTATATATATATAAATTATGTATATATTCCCCCTTTTCAGTGTTTATACAGTACCGAGCATAATGAATCTCTCAGTCTTTGGACACTGTGGTAATGTAAATAGTATTTACTACTACCAATAAAGGACGTCAGTGCTAACATACACATAGCATTCCATTTTTTTAAACTCACAGATTAAAGATGTTTATGTTCCTTTCTGTATCTCACTTTGAAAGCATTTAAATGTATGCTGTCCTTCCCAGCAAAAATGTTGCCAAGAGCATTACTAAAATGATCAAGAGGTTTGATCCTGGGTCTAAGTACCAGTTTGCAATCACGATGAGTCTGCCAACACATATTAAGATTTCTTTGCTCACTCATTCTTATCATTCTCTCAATGACCTAGCCAGAAAATGGCTGATTTTTGTAGCCAAGTATCAAGGCAAAAATAAGAGAACAATGCAGAATATATTAGTTTTCAGTGCCAGCTTCCAAAATCCTTTTTCACCATCATCTACACTGACCTTCTGTATAGTGCAGTCCACAGTTTTATTCTGTTTCTCATGCTTTGAGCCCAAAAGCTGGTGCTTGATTAAATCATATCATCCACAAAAACACTGAGTCTTAATCTGAAAACATAAAAAAGAGAGAATTAACCATTGCCCTTAGCAGTTTCTTCTAACGTTTATGTAAATGTAACATAAAGACTCTTTAAAAAATGCATGCCTTATTTCTCAGTTGAATTGGACTGATTATAACTCTAGCCATTGTTTTTCAGTCAGCCTTTCTCCAGTAAGGATTCTGTTAGTATCCAGTATTTTCTTCCTTTGAAGGTACTTATACTCTGTAATCAAGTCTTCTTTTCTTCTTTTTGGTAAGCTGAGCAGATTGATTGATTCTGTACTATAAGAACTGGCTATCCATCACATTTCACTACAGCATGACAGTCTGTTTATTATATTTATGATCTTGAAGTGGAGTGTGCCACCTGACAATGTAATCATGTATATTTTATTTATTTAGTACTTAATTTAACTGCTTTACATTACAGGCCTAAAATCTGCAAATATTTACCTATGTTTTTATGCATTTGAGAACTCCTTATGTCATTGAGGAATTCAGTTAAAGCTAGTTAAGTGTTGTTTTGTGATGTCCTTCCCCAATCAAGGTGATCATTTCAGCATTTCATTACATCCATCCTCATTGACTTCAGCGGGACTTGTTCACCTGCTTAAGCGTTTTCCTGAATCAAACACTAAAGAAGCACAAAGCAGCCTTAGATGAAAGAAGAAAATTGTCCCATGTTAACAAAATAAGAAAGAATCCGTGAACATTAGTATTATACAATTGAATTATGCCTATAATTACTATGCTCATTTGTTCTAAATAATTATTTAGGAACCTGATCCTGCAAACCTTTTTATGTGCACCTTCCCATTGACTGGAATGATCTTACCCCAGTGATTTAAAAATGGTGCTGTTTTACATTCAAGATACTTAATTTCATACTGTAATACAACTACTGGTGCATTCCTTCTATTAGGTAAACCTCTGGATTTTCTGTACTAAAAATTAAATTATTACACCTTGTCCAAAAGGGGTGGAGTGAATTTATGCTACAAAAGAGGGAAACTGATCATTGTACTGATGTATGTGGGCATTGTTGTTTGTTATCACAAATCTTTGCTTAAAATGAAGAATTAAGACATTAAACAGCCCTAGTTGCAAGGATTAACAAATTTATCAGGCACAAAATCTTCCTGCTAGGTAATTTCATTAAGGTTTTGATGAATAACTTAAATAAATCAACAAAATTTTTTTTCCATTCTTTCTTTGCTCATGGCTTGTCATATCATTACAAGCGGCTGCTGCTGCTTTGCTATGTTTCCTGGGATACTAAAAATAGGCTATTCCAATGCAAGAAATATACTCAAATAATTTAGTAATAATCATTAACTTCATGATATGTGCTATAGGCCTTCATATTTCTGAATGTACAATAGTCATTCAGCCGCTAAAATATGTTCGGTTTTTTAATGGTGTGACTTAAGATTGGTGTGATAGTTTGGATGTATTATAATATACCCAATTTCATCTGTTTTCTGAGGTCATCAGATCTATATGACATATCTACTATATATTTGAGAGAGTCTGTTCATCTGCTTGTTTGTCTGTTCAAGAACGTTTCCTAAACAACAAGAGTTAAGACCACCAAATTCCTCTGATCATAAACTAAAGCAATGTAAACGTTTAGTTGTGCCAAGAAAATAGGATGTGTTACTAATGGGATTGCTTCTCATAAAACCAAACAGGAAAAAAAAAGAGACAGAATCACCAGGCAGATGAAAGGATTTGGCTGGGGCCATGCCTCCTCTGGTCCAGGACTGCCACGGCCTTGAGCCTTTCACCCCCAGGCACTCTTTAGGGAAGGCAGGGGGAAGGGAAGCTGAAGCTCACCTCCCCCCAGACTGGTATAGGGAAATTGCTGGGTGTTCCCCTTCATGGGAGCAAAGAGAAAATACACAGTTTGCTGCATTCCTCACTTTGGCTGAGAATGCAGAAGACAAGACAAATGTGGATGTGTGTTGACTGGAGTTTTATTTGGAATTTGGTATGAGTAGGCTTGCCAATCTGACCATCATGTTTCTAGGATTCTCCTCCTCTGGCCACAGAAATTAAGAGTTGAACAGCTCTATGTCATGAGGCAGATTTCAGGATTTGCAGTTACAACGTTTACACGGTTGATAATGAAAACTGAATGCCTTTAATATGAAGAGTATTATAACTATACATGGCAAAATGCTTAAAATGATGGCATAAATGGTGGCAATTGCCTCTGGTGGTACCATTAATGATAAATGTAAAATAAAACATATATATATATATATATATATATATATATATATATGATGTTCTCTGTTGCCTCCAGGTGCATTGGCCTAGCATATCAAGCATACCTAGTATAACACCATACTTATACCATGAAGACTCTCGGGAGAAGAAGGAACTAGTCTCTCTCCATGGATGGAGTGGGAGTCTCAGTGGGGGCAAAAGAAATGAGTGTAAAGGACACTATGAATGATAAAAAAGGATAGAAGAATGTCGAACACAGCAGAGCCTTCTTAGCCTTTTTATTGGTATTTTAACATCAGCAGTAACCAACCCAAAAACACCTTAAGATTTGAAGGTGTACCTATCTGATTGGAAAGAGCATGTCTCAAATCCAAAAATGAGCAAGATGCTGAACATTCTAAGATGGATCAGATGTTGTCTACTATTTTCCTCTTATGGAAAAACTGGAAGCTTCACCTATATCCTTTGGGTCTCTCTGTTCTTGTTAGACAAAATAATAGGATGTCTAAGATATATTTTTACTCCAGGCTAGGACTTTAGGCCTCCTCTTTGTGGTTTTGAGCTGGCCTTAGCAATAGGACTGGAAATTTCCACACACGCTTATGGGCTATATTTTATAACTTACTCTACTCAGTCTTACTGGTTACATACTTTGTTGCCAAAGCTAACATCTTACAGAAATAAGATTGCTGCAGCTCCCTTGCATTACTGCTAAATCATAATAAACAAAGTAAACAGTTAAAAGGTTTTTAAAAGTAGATAAGCTGTGGGCAAGTTTTGGGAGGCATATGGAGGCTACACCTGCCTCAGCCAGGGGATATGCATCCCTCCCAGCTGCCTCTGGAGCCTCAATGACCATGGAGAGGTGCTTCTCACTTGTACCCAAGCTGCTGTGGTGAGACAGGACTGGAAATCCTCTCTTGCCAGGGCAGCCTGCGTACTGAATCCCTCATTCCCAGCCTCACCCCAGAGCAATGATTTAAATGAAGCATGTACATTTTCATTTTATTTTCCAAAAAACAAAAAAATAACTTAAGCACCCAAGCAATGCTGGGTAATCTTCTATTTTACAATAAATTTGATTAAAGTTTAACTCAATTCAATATTGTTTGTCCAGAAAATTGCTCCATTTGTCATATCTTGCTTCAACCTAAGCAGGATCCACTACCGATCCAACATTTGGGCAGTTCAAGAAGGTGGCTATAGATGATCCTCACTCCCCTGAATGAATATGTGGTAAAGCGTACAATCTTGTCCTTAAATAAGGAGTTAAGAGCCAACCTTTGGGCATTTTTTGTATCTCAGCCAATGTAAGGGTGATGAAATTTCTCTCTGATATGGATTACAGTCTAGAAGTCTCAATTGTTCATTTTATTTTCATAATTTTTTTCTATTTTCTTACAAATGTAGTTATTTGACATAAACAGACAACCCAAAAGTTAAGCCAATATTTCTTATAATAATATGTTCTAAAAATAAAATAAACAGCCCAAAGGCTTTGAACAATAAAGTGCTCATAGAACAATGACAGGAAATCTTCAAAAATAACTAAATTTGCTTCAGATATTTAAAAAAATACGAGAGGGCTGCATCCCCTGCTCACTGCTCAAAAATGAGGGGTTCGGTGTCTGAGACAGGGCTGCCAGTGAATGGGATAGGAATGGGGGTGCAGGATCCGGGTGGTAGGTGGAGCTTAGGAGGGAGTGAGGGTGTCTGGCGAGGGGGGAGGGTGCAGAATCTGGTTGGAGGTGCAGAGTCTTGGTAGAGGGAATGTGTGAGAGGGTTAGGGCTGTGGAGTCTTGGCTTGGGGGCATGAGTGAGGAGGCTGGGGATGCAGGGACTGTGGAGAGGGTATGCTCCAGGGTGAAGGTGCAGGGTGCAGTGTCTTAGTGGAGTGGGTGAGTGGGTGGGATGGGCTGTGGGATCTCAGCTTGGGGGGGGCACTTACTTGCTTTCATGTTGCTGGCATCCCAGGCACCGCTTCCCATGGCTCCCATTGGCCATATTCCAGAGTAGCAGGAGAAGGCTCCAGTAAGCACATCCCTGCATTGCTGTTCTTCCATCCAGGGGAGGAGGAGGAAGTGGCAGTGTGCGCAGCCACTAATTTTCCCCCAAGCCAGATCTGGCGGGGAGGATCGAGGCTTTTTTCCCCTCTGGTAAGAAGCTAGTGCTGGCACTCCAAACTTGCAGGGAGCCATGAGGCTGGAGCACAAGCATGGGCTACCTGTGGGGAGGCTCATCAGGTAAGAGGGCAGGTGTGACACTGTTGGGGCATAAACAGGGCTGCTCAAGCTGCTTAGTTTGTGTCTAGACCTAGATTTTTCAGATTGAACCACTCTCTCTAATGACAAAAGTCACAAGCTAGTGTAAATGTTGACCCTGCGGATAACTCTGCAATGTGACATTGATACTAAATGTAGGAAATAGTGAACTCAAAATCACTTCTGTGACAGTGCAATCCCATTTACAATATACCCTATAGTCTTTGTTAAAGCAGATGAAAGAGGACAGTTAGGAGAAGTGGTGTTACATTTCAGATTAAAAAAAAAGTAAAAGAAAAAATGGGAATAAGGGACTCAGATTAAAAAAAAGCTAAAATTAGAAAAGATAAAGGAAAGCGAGAGGCTTTTATTTCTTTCTCTCCCCCGATTATCTATCTTTGTGCTTTGAAAGTGAAAGCCACCTTTTTCCCTCACAATAGCCCTGGAATTCAACATTAATATTCTGGGGTTCTCACCATTAATTCTGCCCAATAAAGAATTAGCCAAAATGCAGA